CTGCATCATCCATGTTAGTGATGGAGGATAAAGAGACCAACTGCTCTCCCCTAGGTGTCGCTGTCCGCCTGATTATTCCAACAGGCCACAGAGTCACAAAGTGTCTTTTCTAACCATTAGGGGTCCTCCTGAATGGGGCTAAAAGTTCCCAGAGTTTCCCTTTAAAAGCTTTTCACAAAGCTCCTGAAAGCAACTTTTACTGAGAGACTGAGAAAACTCCTATGCTAAGAGGAGGGGGCTGTCCCCTTTGACATCATGTTTCTAAGTGAATTTACTCATTATATTCAAAGTTAATGAAATAAAAAAACTAAATAATTGAAATGAATGATGAAATGAACTCAAATAAAAATGACAAGAAATCAAATTACATCTAAACAAAACAATTTAATATATTGAATATATTTTTTAAATTTACTAAAATCTTTAATCAAATTTAATTTTGATTAAAATAAAATAGAGTATCTTTTTGACTGAACAAATCTTTCTCCTTTGGTGGGGTAATTCTACATTTACTTTACAGGAAATCTGTGGATGGCCGTGAAATGTGTTTTATTTATTCAGTGTACGCTTTGAAGTGCAATAAGTTGTCAGACAAATGTTGTTTTGGTTTGTCCCACAGACAGCTGAGATATTTCAAGTTCATCAGCCATGCAAACTTGATTTGTTGGTAAGCTAAACATGCTTTTAAAAGTATATTTTTAAAACACTGATGCAATGAGGCACATTACTGACTGGGATTAGGTCTTAGCGATCAAGGATTCTAACTTCTCTCAGACTGAGGCGCTACTTTTAGAGCTAAAATGCCAAGTGAATTACTCTTAGACCAAAAAATTACAGTTTAGGAGTCTTTAAGTTAGGACTGACTGTGCCAGAGATGTTTTGTGAACATGGCCCCTGAACTATTAGTCTGCTACTTCAGATATTCTTAAATCTTTGGAAGGATTTAGCTACTGCAAATCCCTGCATGCCATTGATGAGGTCTTATATCATCTAATCTTTTTTGTCTCTTGAGTCAAGAGAAAGCACTGTTTGGATCACAGTGACTAAAAGAGGCGAAGGTACGATTTTAGATGCATAAGTGTACGAGAATATTATAATTATAGTGTACAGTGAAGGTTAACTGAAAGAAAGAAAAAAAGAAAATCAGTGTTCACCACAAACACGTTGAGAGAATATTAAAGGAAAATTCAGGGATGTTTGTTGTCTGCTGTGGGAGGTGGGCATCTATCAAAGCATGTCAGCAAAGGTCATCACACTGGTTATAGATAATGGGAAAAATGGGAAATGCTCTGTCACTATATAGGGGGAAGACGAAGGAGGAGGAGGAGGAGAGGAGCACTCCTGTTTGGCTTGACTTTATGTTTGACCTTTTCGGGAAGGAGAACTAATCCTTGAATATAATAGACTGTAAGATATGGAAAATGACTGTGTGGTTATCTCTGTTACCCTGGAGACCATCAGCAGCACCCAGGGCTGCTGCAGCTGCCAAGTTATTAAGCATCCAGTTTGTATATAATGGAAAAATACCTTTTCTGCCACAACTGGTCACTCCCCACACACTCATGCACAATGCTTTAACACTGTAATAAATAGGTTCCTCTTCATTCTTTGTGCCTAAAAGGACACTGATTTCATTTATTTTTTAAAAAGCGTGCAACTACAGCTTTTGTGTTGGAAAAAGGGGGATTTTATCAACAGTATGTTCATTTTATTCATAAAGTGTTTTTCATTTTTAATGTTTGTCTTTGTGTCTTAATTCAAGACAAACAGGAAACAATTGAACAGTTTTCTTTTCCTGTTTTCCTTCCTTGAAATTTGGTTTATAGATGATTGGAGGAAATTATTAAATTGTTTTGTCAAAAAAGAGATAGCCTTTTATAATAAGACTTTGGACAATGGCCTAATTAAATCAAGTTCACTGTTTAAAGAAACGCTTCAGGATTTCAAATAAATAACCACATAAAGTGCTGATTAACATCATGATAAAAAAAATAGAGTAAAATAAATAAATAAATAAAAACTCATGGAATCTAAGTTTCAAATATAAAGTAAATCTAACATGGCCTGTTTGTAACCAAACACTTTTAAACCCTTGTGTTAAAACCGCATGCTGGAGTTTTTTATTTGCTAAATTTCCAACACATGAAAACATTATTCAAATATATTTTTCTCCCTGTGTGGAAGCGGCTGCGTCTGTTTAACTCTTATCCAGTAAAATCCTACATGAAAGAAATAAGATACCACAACAAAGCACCGGAACCTCAGATGGCTCCCGCAGATAACCTAAAAAATAATGGAAAAGCGAGCTGTATTTATGCTGTCTAAATACACCGAATAAAGACTTTGCACATGCAGGACATTAAAGTTGTAAATAATAGCCAAAGCCATGCAGCCCCCTTCTTTTATCTATCTATCTATCATTTACACAGATCTGGTCCAGTAAATGATGCATTCCCTGCATTAGATGTATTTGTTGAGCGAGTTTGAAAAGGCGGCGATAATCTGGGAGGGAGAGATAAGAAATGCCATTTATTCCGCGGCACTTTGGAGCCTATTTCCCGGGCCGATCAGCCCCATTCTCCCCGACACCTCCAGCAGCTCGCTGATAACGATTAAGCTATTTATTATCTTCACAAAGAACAAAGATTAGCCAGCACCGATGAAAAATTACCCCGGGATGGGTTATAATCAGTGGGACCCAAGGATCTTACCAGCATTGGATTTCTCTTTCTCTCTTTTAATCTAAACACAGACACAGGCGAGCGCGCACACGTCAATGTAACGAGCTCTTAGAAAGAGAAAATAATTATTTTGATTCACTATGGCGACGTGAGTGTTAAAAACAAAAAATACAACTAAAGGTGGCCTACCACTAGGCTACTACTAGGTCTAATATTAATAATAACAATCGTACAAATAATAATTGGGCCTTTAATTAAGATTAATACTAAACGTCTGTATTAGCTACTTATCTACTGTCGTTTTTGCATAATATAGCGGACTACAGTGACATTTCATTTTATCTTTATTATGAGGTAAAACCACTTCCTTTCAATGGTAGGCCTATAATGAGATTCTCTGAGCTGAATCGAGCTGCGACCTCTTTCTCCGGGGCTCGTGTGAGAAAAAGAGCAGTTTAAAAAAAGGGGCGGATTGAATTAATGTCAAATCCTAAAATGGAAGTGGATGTTCTCCGCCGATAAGGTTTTATCGCCACGCCAGATCAAAAGGGCTCACACTCAAAGCATGTGTATTTCCACATTATCATGCTGATGAGCTCTAATACTGCCACACTTGTCCCTCCGGTATGTTCTGCTTTCTTCAATCCATACGGTGGATAGATTCATCTTAATGCTGCCTGAAAAGAATCGTCCTCTCTGGTTAAATAACGATAGCCTATATTCAGATCTTTAAATTTTTCTAAAGGTGCTCTTCATCGTGGACCTGTTAAGGGCAATAATTATTTTACAAAATGTTTAAACAACAAACAGATTGGAGGAAAGGATAGATAGATAGATAGATAGATAGATAGATAGATAGATAGATAGATAGATAGTAGGCTCAGATTTAATTTTTGTCTGTGTGTGGCCTCATGGATGTATTGTGTGTTTTTGCATTTAGCAAATTGTGGGCATCATTGCTGACCATCATATTAGGGTGACAGTAGGCCTATTAATAATTATTAATATTGCTAATCAGGATATAGCCTAGGTTTCGGCCATGTGAGTGATTTTGCCAAAATGCAACAAGATGGAGAACTGAACTGAATCAATCAGAACTTAATCACATTACTGGACCTGTTGGATTTCCAACTAAAAGGTTTCGCACGCACGTGGACAGCAAGCTCCTTCTTTTCATTTTGTCCAGACTGCTTTAGACTGAGAGATAACCGAGTCGCTTTGAGGCACCGCTTTTTCTGGACAGTTCACAGCGATGTGAACAAACGAAATTTCTAGGTGTGTTTCTGCAACAAAAAAAGAATTTCCTCAGTCTGGATATTTGAGATTACTAATCTCAATCTAATCTAATCTGTAGTCCACCTTGGCGATAGTTTGCCACGCATTGCTTGTGGTCTGTTCTTCAAAATCACAGCGGGGTCAGGAGGATGTACTTGATGTATTATTAATGCCACAGTGTAAATATCAGTTGCAGTGTCCTTCCTCGAGTTCATCCGCTGGAACTGCAGCAGACTCGGGGCAACCCCGGCTCTCTCTCTCTCTCTCTCTCTCTCTCTCTCTCTCTCTCGGTCGGTCCCTCTGTGTTAGAAAAGTTCATGTCCTGATTGTGTTGTTTTTTTCTTCACTAAGATGCACTGACGTCGGGAAACGGCGTCAAGCAGGCGGCAGTGTCGGGCTGCCGGGGCTGCACGCGCTCCCTCTCCAATTATAGTCTGTCAATCATGCGCGAGGCCGGCAGAGAGAGAGACAGAGTGTGTGTGTGTGTGTGTGTGTGAGAGAGAGAGAGGGAGAGAGAGAGAGAGAGAGAGCACACACACACACACACACACACACAAGTTTTCTAGGCATGACATTAACTGGAGAGTAAGAGGCACTGACTGTGCTGTTAATGTCGCTATACCAAAAAGAAGCAGTACACTAAAGGAGGTGGACATGTCGACATGCAGTTCTAGCTCTTCTTCTTCTACTGCTGTGTGACACTGAGATTTTTATTTAAAATCCAATGTTACCAGATATAATCACTATTCATCATTTGTCTGTGGCTGCCATGCTGTGTGTCCTCGTGAAGGAGTTCCATGCAATGTTTTGTTTCAGGGAATATTACACTGGACATGAAACACTGAATTCCATAAAGTACAACAAATTCATATAGGCCTGCCCCCCAAGCAGCCAGACTCTGTCTCTCCATGTGAATATTAGAGATTTTCTGGTCTGGGGAGCCGCCTCTGGGGTTTTGTAATGCTGCGGTGCAATTGGCTAAGTCAAAGCTTTAATGGAGACTCCGCCCATGAGCTTGACAAGCCTGGCCCCGCGCTGTCAGCTACAGTTATACGTGTTGCTCTAAGTCCCAGTGGACGGAGTTTACTCTGACAAACACCAGCCGAAAACTGAAGAGGACCTGCAGCAGCAAACAGGGACAGGGAACAGTTTTCCAAAGAGGCGTGAGCCGTTCCGACTCTGTGGATAAGATAACGCTGGCAAAGGTATGACATGTTTATGTTGTCACGTTGAGTAAAGCACATTATTGAGTGTTATTAGTGAAAAGGGCTCTGGGAGAGTGTAAGGGGAGTGATGTGGTAGTAGCCTATGATGGACGGGAGATGTTTTTTTATTTTAAAGTTGCATCTGGAGCCCTGCGTTTAGAGAACTGATGCTTACAAACAGGCACCAGGGTGCACAACACTCTTGCCTTTAAAATATTAACATCTGATGTTTGCTTGTTGCAGGTTTCCAGTGTCAAACTAGACTCGGTCTCCAGGACAAGTGAGGGATTTAAGTCATTGGAACGCAAACAACGCGTTATTCCTCTACTGTAAATGAAATCAGTGAAGATATTGTAAAGGAAAAATATTTTAGACTCGTCCCGCGCCCTCTTCCTGGATATTCCTTGGCTCTTTTAAGCGCGCTTACAAAAAGCCACAGAGATGGATGTGGCGGCTGATCAGCCCCGCTGGATGCATCACCATGCCGTGCTGAATGGACAACACCCGGACTCTCACCACCCCGGTCTGGGGCACAACTACATGGAGCCCACGGCGCAGCTCCTGCCTCCGGATGAGGTGGATGTTTTCTTTAATCACCTGGACTCACAAGGAAACCCGTACTACCACAACTCTGCCAGGGCCAGAGTGTCCTACAGCCAAGCGCACGGTAAGATGGAGCCACTGCAGAGCAACTTTAACCAACACATAGGCTACAGGCTACAGGACAGAAACTCAGAGTTGGCTTTACAAAAGTATTTTTCTTTTCTGAAAATAACTGCCTACATGATTTAGTTGCTGTTGCCTTATGATAGTATTCAGTTCCTTTTATCTAGCCTATTTTAACACAAACGTGCTGTTTTCTAATTAAAAGGAAAATATTTTATGGCCTTATGCGTATGAGTCTGATCTGAACTGGTTTGTTGCCTTACATTTAAATTTGATATAGCCTAAGACATTAACCCAAGTAAAACATACATTAAAATTAAAATGGTTAGAAAACTAACTAGCGCATTTGCAATCAGGAACTGGATATCTTTTAAATGCGTATTTTAGTTCAGGAACGGGTTGCACTTGTCTATTCTTGTGGATTGAGGCTACTTTGTTTAGCTGTTAAATTCAAGCCAATGTGTCCAGCGAATCAACAAGTCTCCGTTATAATTTGCATCGAAAACCTGTTCCACTAACTGCTGAATCAGCCTGTCAACATCTCAATAATAATTTTCTTTTTTTGTAATTTCACAGCTCGTCTGACCGGGACTCAGGTCTGCCGGCCTCATCTTATTCACAGCCCGGGGATTTCATGGCTCGACGGGGGGAAAGCAGCCCTGTCGGCTCATCACCACAACGCCTGGGCCGTCAGCCCCTTCAGCAAACCCAGCCTGCACCACCCAGGCTCCGCGTCCCCCGGCGGCCTCTCTGCCGTATACCCGTGCAGCAGCAACTCAAACACGGTCTCCGCGTCTTCGTTAACGCCGCCGTCCCACTCCAGCCCCCATCTTTACACTTTCCCCCCTACACCACCAAAGGACGTATCGCCAGACCCCGGGGCCGCGTCTCCCTCCGCCACTAGAATGGACGAGAAGGAATCTATCAAATACCAAGTGTCATTAGCGGAGGGGATGAAGATGGAGGGCTGCAGCCCGCTGAGGAGCAGCCTGGCCTCCATGAGCGCTCAGACCCCCTCGACGCACCATCCCATTCCGACGTACCCCACCTACTCCCTCCCGGCTGCACACGAGTACGGCAGCAGTTTGTTTCACCCAGGCAGCCTGCTGGGAGCATCATCCTGCTTCACCCCCAAGAACAAAGGCAAGACACGGTCCTGTACCGGTGAGTCCCCTGGAAATACACCAGAGACCTGCCCCCAAATAAAATAAAATATAAAAATAAATAAATATTCAGGCATATTTGCGCGTATGAAGGCTATATAACAATCTTAGGTTTGCTGTGTAGCGACTCAGTGCACTCTGTGGATGATATTTGCGTATCTGTGGTACCAAGATTAGTTTACTGACCTTATAGTGCAGCTTTGCTCGTTTTGCAGTATAATTATTAGACATAATAATTATAAGGGAACAACATTTACCAATAAAAACAAAAACCTTAATGAGAAATGTTTGTCAAGAAGAAAACTCTCCTGTAACATTAATCCATTTAATGTTAAAATTAAAACAGCATGTGAAAGACATTAAATATATTGTAAATGTAAACAGATTAATTTCTTTTGATTTATTCTGTATTTATTCTGTAGTATGTGCAAGCTTTGATTTGAGCATCACCAAGTTTCTTTATCATTTTGAAAATTGTATTAGAAATATAATATTTAATAGCCTAATGATGATTAAAAAAATAAAGAGGACAAAAATTAGATAAATGCTTTCAGAGGCCTAAGCCTGCACTCCACAGTCCTCCAACACAGAGTGACTTTGATAATCCTCTTTTGTTAACCATGACTCTGTAATTACGCCTGAGCTGGCTGCAGCAGCACAGTGAACTGGATCCAGCCCAGAGGTGTGAAAGGAAGATCCGCAGGCGCACAGAGCCAAAACCTCAGTATTTAGGCTATGAGTTGCTTCTCAGTTACATAAGACATTAATACATTGTCCTGATTGTTATTTGATTACAGAGCAGGAGACTCTCAGTTTAAGCCTGATTGTGTTTAGCCAGTTTATTAACAGGGATATAGTGCACGGTAACCTAACCTCACTTTGAATAACTTGTTTATTAAATAAGAGCTGGCACCTTAATAGGTTAAATTATTATTGCTTGGAGCTTGGAGCTTAAAAGGTTAAAGGGCATCGTTTGTGTTAAACTGATGTCTCAGAAATGTGCCAGAGGCTGACAGCACAGAGGGAATTATATTTACTTTTTGTACAGCAAATTGTTTGTTTTGTTTTTTGCTTATGCTAATGCACAAATATAATATGCCACTTTATATCCCAGTATATGCAGACACTGTTTCTTTCTATTTACTCTCAAACAAAGAGTCAATGGATATGAAATTAATAATAGAACGTGTACTTTAATCTAAAATGAAAGGTGTTGTTATAGCTTTATAGAAATAAAATCTGATGTGTCCTCACTTATGCATGTGCATGCACACATAATTAATTCAGAAAAGTACTGGTATATGTTACAAAACCCCCCATTCCTGTTAGAAAAGATGATAAAGTGTATTTCTTTGTAGTTTGATGACACAATCATCTTATTTAACAAAGTTCCTGAAAGCTGCATCAAAAAGTTGGAATTTGTATTCCAGCAATGAAATGTGATTTTAAAAATGCCACTGTGTGTTCTTCATCAGAGGGTCGCGAGTGTGTAAACTGTGGAGCCACCTCTACACCTCTGTGGAGACGTGACAGCACCGGACACTACCTGTGCAACGCCTGCGGGCTGTACCACAAGATGAATGGCCAGAACAGGCCGCTCATCAAACCCAAACGCAGACTGGTGAGTCCTATCAATGTGTAACAGAGAGGGGTAGTGAAGGTGTGTGTGTGTGTGTGTGGTGGCAGTAAATAAAACAAGTGGAGGGAGAGGCGGGAGGAGGTACAATCCCAGGAAAGTTATATTTTCCTAATCAGTTTCCAGGAATTGTGTTTCTGGCTCACCTCTTGCTCCTTCAGCTCAGGCTGTTAGCAGAGAGGGACTATCTGTGTGTTATGTTATCATTATTACTGCTACTTCTGATACTGTAACTGATAGCAGGGCCAGAACGCCATCCATCAAAACAACACGGGGCCCTGCTGACAGTTTATGGCTCATAATGCAGCTGGGTTTTTTTGTTGTTGTTTGTTTTTTTGTAATGTGTAGGGGAGGTGATTAAGTATGGGTTTGTTTTTATTTTGACATTTGGGCCGCAGAGCCCTGCTGTCCAGATAAAACCACATGTATCCAAAGGAGCTAATTTTTCAAATAAACTGAAGGATTAAGTGTTCATTTTGGGGTTGAGAAAAATGAGCCATTAAAAAGCAATTTGATTATGTGAAAAATGCACTGTCACAGGGCTGTTTTTATATAGCTCATGAGAAGCTGGTATTCATGAGATATGTGGTTTTCAAAGGGCAGCAAGTGTCTGTTTCAGAGTAAAGGGATACAGCAACTTTGGGGATGGTTAAAGTCAGAAATTTCCCATCATGACCTGCTTTAAACATCAGTGTTAGTGGAGTCAATATTTTAAAGGATGACATCTAACTTTAATTAAATACTTTAATGCAAAGCATCAAGTATGCTATAGGCTAGACGCTTTAATTTAACTCATTTTGACATTTTCAGGACTTCTGACTGCTAAAATAATAATTTACATAAAATAGTTATCCTTACTTTTTGATCATTCTCCTAATATTAACCACTATATTTGCAGCCTCACTGTATTCATGTAACCCTGTGCACCAGGAGGCAGCTATGAAATGATGACAACAGTGCAGAGTCAATAGAAACACAGCTTATTAAATAGCCTAATTAAAAGTTAACAAATTTTTTAAATTGTTTTATTTTGAAGTGACCCTGGAGGAATGCGACGGGACTAATTGGAAAAAAGCAATGAAGAAGTATTATTTAGACAAAAGTGTGTAACTTCGCACTCACTAAATTATTTAGACTAAGCGACAAAAGACATTATTTATTGCGATTATAATATTGAGTCAAACATAAAGACTAGTTCCAGATAAATGGCCTGTTTTACATGAGCAGTCTGTTGGCGCATGCGGGTTAATGGGAGACTACATCGCTAAGACAAACGGGTCTAAATCTATCCGATGCTGACCTGCGGACCACGTCTGCAAACAGCGGTCTGCTTCATACAAAATATACGAGCATTTATTTCAGCGTCTTTTCGCTTCATAATAGCACACGCAGCCATATATCAGGCCTGGTTTCCGTGTGGCTCGCCGGAGCTCGCAGGGCTCCCGAGCGTTTTGTGTTCAGTGGCAGCAGAAGCCTTCCAGTTGTTTCCTATCCGGATATCTGACCGGTCCAGATAAAGCAGCGGGACCAGCGCCTGTTTCCTCCCGCGGCCTCCTAACTATAGGCTCAGGCCTCATTTCACAGTGGTCAAGCTCTCCGCCCATGACAGAGAAAGTAGTAGGCTACAGCAAAGTGAACATAAAAGAAAAAGTGGGTTGGGAAAGTTGGAGGCTGACGGCTTTACAGGGCACCAAGCATGATCACGGTTGATTTTAACAGAAAAAAACCCCCAAAACACATAATGTTTTTTTTTAACGCAGTTATTGCATGTTTTGTCAGATAATACACTTATTAAAACATCTGGTGCAGCTGATTATATTAATTTCCTGTGGAAACAGAGGTAACATCGGTTGAGAAGAATCCATCAGGACTGACATGAGACTCTGGCTGACAGGGCTCCTCAATCATCATTTTAAACGTGTTAAGTATCGGGCTCTGTGCATTGAGCATGTGGAATAACAAATATACATTATCATTATCATCATAACCATCCCCCATGTGACATAATGTTATATATTTTCATTTGAAATATGCTGTCAAAACATTGAGCTAGCACAAACTGAATGTCAACAAATATGTCACCTAGAGTGGCAACAATTAGGCTAGTTTATTAATCCAGAAAATAAATCGCCAAAAGTTGTGCTAATCAATTATATACTGGTTCCAGCCTCTAAAATGTGAACCTTTGCTGGGTTTTCTTTGTCTTCTGTGATGGTATACTGAATATCACAGAGTTTTGGACTGTTGAGCTGACAAAACAAGACATTTGAAAATGTCACTGTCAGGGAACTTGTGATGGGCATTTTTCACATATTAATTGAGAAAATAATCGGTAGATTAATTGATAATGAAAATAATTGTTAGTTGTGGCCCTCATGAAACTGCAGAAAGTTCAACATTACATTGTATAAACTGATAGGCCTATGTATCCTTTTTCTTAAACTGACCCGTGCTGTGTCTGCTTGTGCTAATCAAAGCTTCATCTATATTTTTCCACAGTCTGCTGCCAGACGAGCAGGCACCTGTTGTGCTAACTGTCAGACGACCACCACCACGCTCTGGCGGCGCAACGCAAATGGAGATCCGGTGTGCAATGCCTGTGGCCTCTACTATAAACTGCATAACGTAAGTCTTTGACTGCTGATCGCCAAGTTGGGCCCATACAAAGCCAGCAGGGTCAAGTAGACGGGAAGTAGGCAGGCAGGTTACAGTGATTGTTGAGGGATAAGAGAGGCAGAAAAGAGAGAGAGGGAGAGAGGGTTGTTTTACTCTCAGACACTGTGTTTTCTTTCTTTGTGCTTTATTGTTTCCATGGTAGGCATAATCCCCTTGAGAGTCACAATGGTGGGACTGTTGTTGAGTGGGACGGCCATAAGACCAGTCTCCATATCAATAGCATTAAGACTGGAGGCATCAAAATAGATAATTGTAGCCTGTCCTCACCAGAAAAACAGCTGTATAGGTTGATTATGCAGCAGCTTATCATGACCCGTATTTACGTTTATTGTTAGGCTGCAACCTCTAGTGGCCGTATGACAGTAGCAAAGGAAGAAGTCAAGTGAAGAGTGACAAGGAGGCAGTTGGGGTGGAAGGATGGGTCAAACAAACATAGGACTTTCAATCAGGATACAGACGGTAGAGTCCTGTCAAGTAAAAGTTAACTAAAAGTTTAAGTTAAATAACGTTACATAGGTGACTTATGTCACGTGAGTTAAGTCACATGACTTACATTATTTATGTTACGTGATGTAATGTACTCACTTTAACACAAACGACGGTCATTTCCAAAACCTAAACAAGTAGTTTTGTTGCCTAAACCTCACCAAACTATGTCCATTTCACAATGTTAACCCTGTGTTTGACGTCAGGTGACGGGTGTTTGGGAACAATTGACAATCTACCTATTTTGTTGTTTAGGCATGAGGACATGTTGGGTAACTGGTAGGCCTATAGGATGTATAATTTTACATGATGAATTTGATAATGTTATATATTTATGAAAACCAATAATGGATTGATCCTACCAACAAATATTGTCTGTGTATCCAAAGCCTGACATAGCTCATTCCTCTGTGCCATAAATTTCCACTGTTGTCCAAAAACACACAATTCTGGTGCCAGAATTACGGATTGAACCAAATGTGTATTAATCTGCAGCTTAAAAAAGTCCCCAAAGAATGCGCTATTTACTCTTCTTTGAGTAGAGTTTGCTACAAACTACAGTGTCCAGCAGTTTTAGGAAATTACTTTGCATTTAAAAAAATTAAAATATATACTTGCACAAATTCTCAGTAGGAACCAATAGGCTTGGGTCTGAGTGCCACAGACAGGATGGGTAAGTAGGAAAGTACTGAGCAATGGATTAATGCATAGTTGGTTTGAGTCTCTTCATAATAACAAAAATATAGAACATTACCAGCTTTATCGTTTAAGGACTTCTCAAATTTAACAAAAGCACTCACATGTAAAAATGTATGGATGTTTCATAAAATTGACATGTTTGAACTTTCACTCCAAACTTTAGAGATCACAAATCACTCATCTCCTCCCTTTTCTACACAGGTGAACCGACCTATGACCATGAAAAAGGAAGGAATACAGACACGCAACCGAAAAATGTCCAACAAATCGAAAAAGAGCAAGCGGTGCAACGATAGCTACGAGGAGTTTTCCAAAAGTCTGAACGACAAGAGCTCGCCCTTCAGCGCAGCCTCTCTGGCCGGACACATGTCCATGGGCCACTTGCCACCTTTCAGCCATGCCGGACACATGCTTCCCACGCCCACCCCAATACACCCTTCTTTTGGGCACCCACACCACTCTAACATGGTGACGGCCATGGGATGAGAGGGTGAGGAGAGGGGTTAACATATAAGAACACTGGGGAACTTGGGATGGTTGTGTGCACGGGGATGAGGGTCTCACTAGAGGACTGTGTGTACAATGTTACAGACATGCATTTTGTGTGTCTTTGTCTTTGATTGTCTCTTGATTGATTATGCCAACGGTATGTTGGAGGAGCAATGTATCGTGGGAGGAAAGGACCTTTTTACTCCTTATCTATAGGTACATATTTTGATGGTGGAAGACAGAGAGAGATATTCTGCTTCCTGATGGCCAGGCACACATGTAAACACAAAAATGTCATTGCACCTCATAATTTTATCCCCACTGACGGCCTGACGGACTGCAGTGTGGTTCAGTACGTGCCGAACAGGTTCATAGTAACTGTGAATATTGTAAATGTGTGAGACCGTAGGGGACGTCCCAGACAGAGCTATCCCCTTCACAACATTAAATGAAAATATGCTGGATTTTTTTTTGCTTATGGACAATTTTAAAGGAATTTTCACAAAAGAAACAAGCAAACAAAAAAAAGTTTATGAATCCTAATTTGACACTGTTTATTAAAATAATTGTTATTATAATTATTATTGTTATTCAGATAATTTATTTTCATTGCCTTTTTTTCTTTTACTATATCACCTGTATCATAATATGGATATTGTTATCCCAGTTATGAATATATTTTTAGCTGAAGCGCTTTCTCTGAGCTGGTCAACATTTATACGCGTAAGAAATAAAGAAATCAAGTTTGTTATCCCATCTGCTCCTTCTGTTCAATATCCAGTATCTAATATTTAAGTATTCATAATAAGAACAGATATAGATATTCATGTGGTTATTTGCGCTGCTCTCTGGGATCCTGGGACACAGAACCACTTTGAACTTGAGAAACACAGGAGTGCATGTCTTACAGATACAGATGTCCGTCTTCATTAACTCACTATTAGACGTTTCATTAATTTAAAGCTACAATGTCAGTCACACCTATTTGTTTCTTTGTTATAATAACTGTATTAGGTTTATCTTCTGTGCATCGAATGATCTGTAGCTTTCTATGCATCCTTGTTTATCTCTGGAGTGACAGATTAAAGGAATAGTTCAACATTTTTGGAGACAAGCTAATGCGCTTCAGGTCTAGAAACAGGGGACAGCTAGCCTGTTTCTGTTACAAAATCCAACAACCTTTCACTTGTAACGTTCCACTAACTTCCTGGAATCCCAGAAGTTACTGTGCCAGGCCAAGAAGTGACTGAATAGAGTAACATATAAAACCCTATAAAACCATTTTTTGAATGGATTAAACAGACAAGCTTTAGAGGTATTGATGGGCAGAGTTTGTTATCACCTGACTAGAAAATTCTAGTCTTTGTGATAAGCTAAGCTAACCCCCTGATATGAGAGTGGTATTATTCTTTTCATCTAAATCTTTCAAATTTCAAATTTCTCAAAATGTCAAACTATTCCTTTAAATAATTTTTTGGGGGGTTATCAGCCACTGTACCTGCTCCACAGGTGGTGCTAATGTCACCATGTGAGGAACATCTTATAATAAAGATATTATGTATAGCACAACCTTCTGTTAGCCTCTGTATCATGACTTTTGATCAACACCATCCTGCCAGAGTCAGAGAAGCCATGCTTACTATTTCCTACCTGTCACAAATACTGAAAATCTGGTGGCCGTTACATATTGTTGATAATAAAGAAACTATATAAACCTAGCAGTGATGACTGAGAAAACTTATTTCCCTTCTGGAAATGATCCTACAAACTTAAACTTTACCAAAAAATTGTTTTTATTGTCTGACCAGGACAAGGTGGGGCTTTTGTAACACTCATCAGACCTCCTTGGCTGGATAATAAGCCATCCCTACGTTCTACCTTCAGCACAACCTTTGCACCAGTTATCAACAGTACAGTATCAGAGCATTCAAGGGACCCTTCTAACCCTTGTTGACATGAGCCACCACTTTCTAATGAACATGTTACTTCACTGAGCACTGAAGATTAGTACTGTTGACAGAAATTGAACAGGTTGAGCCATATGTTCCCACAATTACTTAACCAGTTGCATCTGCTCATTGGATAATACTCTTATGAAATTGGCCTTCTCTCTCATCAGCCTGGTACATGCACATGCACATGCACATGCACACTAGCCTTACAGTGATATAAGACATTTCCTTTTAAACAACCCTTTTATTATAGATAATGTACATTTTTCATCCATGTTGCATATGTTTTAGATTTTGAAATTTTGATTTTACTTCTTTACAGTTACTGAGTGTCAGTCATTGCTCTGCGTTATGAAAATGAACCTAAAAACTAGACTTGAAATATGTAATTAATCACAGTGAACATCACATCTGCTTTAGGGGTAAAAGAAATGTCATCATTGTGTTGTAGTGCTGTGCAAAGCCTTTTAAATCATGTCACATTTTAACTCCATTACCACACAAGAATAACTGTAACTCTGACACAAATAAAATACATTCACTGTGATATGTTACCTATCCAAAGCAGGTTTAAAGCCATGCAAAAGCGTGAAAAAGTGTTTCAGTCTCGTCTTGTGATACAGATTTGAGCTCCTTAGAAAGCAGAAGGCTGTCTCTGCCCCGAGGCTACAGCAGTGAGCCTCGAGATGCGTTAAGGGTCAACTCAAGTGCAGCAGCATGCAGCCTCCTCTCAAGACTTCCCTGACCTCTCACCCTGGAAGCACTTACTCTGTCATTCTTCCTGGCCCTCCCACACTGCACACAGACCCTTTTAAAATGTCACATCTTCACCAAAAATATGAGCGAAACAACGAGACTTTCCCCATAAAGAGGAGATAAAAAGCAGCCAAGTGGGAAGAGTAAAGTCTTTTCGACGTGAACCTCCCTGAGGACCTTTGTCGAGCAGGAGTTTTGGGACTGGGTGGACATCGTAAATCAGCTCACCAGTGAGATTTATAGCTCCCATCTTTGCACAAGTGCCCCCTCCGTAGACCATTTGTTTTTCTACCAAACTCAATTAATGGAATCAAAAACAAGGCCAGAAGTGACTTCAGATGAGTGAGTTAGCAGGGAGATGATGATAAAGGGGATGAAAGGGGAGAGAAGCAGAGTTTCATTCAATTCAGAGCCCTAAAATGATGAAGGGGGGTTAGGGTCTACCAAAAGTAGGAGAAAACAGCTCCTCCACATTGTGTCTGGATCCTCAGAGTCAGATAATGAAGTTAAGGTTGCATACGTCAAAAGAGCTTCTACTGAACTAACTGACCAGAAAAGAGCTTCTACTGAACTAATTGACCAGAAGTGGTGAACACCGGATTAAACACAAGTTAAGAAACTTACATTTAGCATATAGCATTATTTTGGATACTCTGGCAGGTCTAAGTTGTAGAAAACCTTTAACGTAGAAAATCAGATCCCTGAAAACATCCAAAATATATAGATCCTTGTTTGTCCACAACCCTGTTTGTCCACATCACACATGTAAAAGTGTTGCTATCTAAATATTTCCTTGATGGCTATGTAATAAAGGCCTCACTCTGTTAAGAGTGTGAAATAATACTAAATAAGTTTTAACAAACTGTTGTGTTAATCATGATTTTAAAACCAGTGACTGAGCCATGACAGAGGTTTTGGGAGGGCAGTGATGTGTAACTGAGTTTAGGCATTTATAAATTTTTACTGACACAGAGACAATGGCTGTGAAATACACCTGAGAGATAAGTTACAAACTAGCCACTGTCGAGCACAAAGGTGACCAATAGGAGAGTTTTAAGAAATTAGGTTTGATGATAAAGATGAAAAATTTTAGTTCAGTCTCCTACTGTAATCTTAAAAGAAGTGTAATATAGAGCACTGATGAAACAGTTAATTATACAATAATACTTGTATTAAATGCCTTCATTCACAGGGTTTCTTTACTGCTGCGGGTGGTCCAGGACCCCCAGGCCTCGCTCAGTTCAAACACTGTTTACTGTACCAGTACAGTATTGTGATGATCACTCAATCGCTTAGACTGTTGTCCCCAAAATCTTCTGCAAAAATGTAGTGACAAGTAGAACTGTCATTTCCATATTAAACTGAAGGGGCTCTTTGCATTTACGTGCAGCTAATTATACATTTCACAACTGTTAGTAAGTCTGTCAGACAATGTATACACACTGTAATATCCATCGCGAGCAGTCTGGGGTGCATGCTGGTATCATCAGCTGACTCAGTACTGGCAGGGTGCATGCTGACGTTTTGGATACTGTATGATATATCTGCAACTCGAAACCATTCACTGTAAACGTGAATAAAGAGAACAAACTTGCTGACTGGATGCACGGTGCCAAAAAGTCAAACTGGAAATGTAAATTGTTTTTGTGAGTCACTTCTACTTCAGGGAACATTGCACCGTCTAGATGACTGCGTGACCCTGAGTCCTAAAACAAAATTCACAGTCTCTACACACTTGTCACCTGGGCCACCAAGAGACAAATAAAACTGTAAAGCAGCCATTTAATTTCCAACCACATGGTCCCACGCTGCACCCTTGGAAGACCAGATGGATGGGACATGTGTCCAGTCTGCACCAGTGGGACTCAATCTAGTTACAGTGAGATCTGGGCCTGACACACTAAGGTGTTGTCTCTGCTGGGATCTCAAGAGGACTGAAACGGAATAAAAATGGAGGGCTATGCAGCAGAGTTTTAGTTTCCACCAGGGTACAGAGACTCTTACGAAACACCTTAATATACAATATCATAACTTAGAGAAATAATGCTTACAAGCAAAACACGAAAAAGAAAGGCTTACAGGAAACAGTTATATGATAAATTACAACAAAAGGGGTGATCTGGGTGCATGTATCCCCATGTCACAATGCTGGAGCAGGGATGCACACCACAGACACACACAGATGTGCACACTAACACACTCATAATGCACATACTGTACAGGCACACACACTGTGACTGTAGACCAGGCTCTCAAGAAAAGGTACAACATGCTGACACACAGCGCACTCTCTCAGAAAAGTGGGACACCCTCCAACCACCCGATCCACAACCACTGACAAGTCCCTTTCAAACTGCTTTTCTTCTCTTGTCTGAGGCAGACAAATTCATCCCTCTTGTCTCCAAACAATCACCTCTTTTCTTCTGCCGGTTGCACCAATGAAAGAAGGAGGGAGGGTCCAGGAGTGAGGGAGGAATACATCTGCCCCACAGAGCTACACTGTAGGCACTAGGCTAATGTCCTGTGTGTTAGGGCCCCTGGGACTGGGCGTCTGGGCCCCACTATCTTATGACAAAGTTGACAAAAAGCCCAGGGCTCAGCCCTCAGGAAATCTGAGAGGCGGGGTATCTAGGCCGGGAGGGCAGGACAGAGGGAAGGAGGGACAAAACATCTCAGGTACATTGCATTTACGCCGGCCCATGTATGTCTAATTGCCGGGGTTTGCTTGAAATGACATATATGACATGTCATGGGACCACGTTGGAAGGCAAACTTGTGTGAACCTTCTCCAAATGGCCACACTTGAAGGCGGGGCTAAAAGCCTGCTGCCAAAAGTCAACGTTCCATCCAAATCGAGTGTGAACTTTAACCAAATTTTCACAACACTGGTAAAAGAAAATGGGAATAAATGCACGTTTTCATCCACTATTCTTATGTCAATATTAGGAGGCTGCAAGGAGATAAACAGCTGGTGATGCTAATTCTCCCGTTGGGTGCCATTAAACCCCTGCAGAAGAAGATATATTGCATTTAACTTCATTGGACATTTAAGTCATGTGTGAAGATTTTTCACTGCAACAGTTTCCATTGCACTTTGTTACATTTTGCTTTTATCAATAGACCAACTTTCCCATCTTAGCCAAGCCTAAAAACTGTTTTGCAAAATTCTAAATTTAGTTTTTAATTTCAGGTGTTTCCACTTGAGTTTTTTTTGCACAAATTGAACAGCTGGAGTTTAACGCACTTGCAGAGAGGGGCAAAGTACAATGAACCAAACAAATGGAGATAACAGCGACCATTTTCAGACAGACTCTCCTCATAATCATTCATGGAGTTGCATTCTGCTAACATCCTGACACTTAGCAGCTAGAATGTTCACCACGTTCACCATTAGTTTTGCAGTTTTTTATCGGATCATAAATATCTCCAATAGTTCAAAGCTGAAACAAGTAGTCTATGAATCAATTAGTACATTGATAGAAAACTAAGCTGTAACAGTTTTGATAATTAATTGTTTAGGGTTAGGGTTTTTAAGCAAAACTTACCTCTCAATTATGAAGATTTTCTGATTTTCTTTTTCTTCTGTGATATAAAATTGGATTTTAGAATGTTGGTCAGACCAAACATACAATTAGAGGATATCACTTTGGGCTTTATTTATAATAGAAATTGTGATGGGCATCTGTTAACCATTTTACAGACCAAATGATTAATCAATTAACCAAGAAAATAATGTGCACATTACATTGTTACTTGTCGCCCTACAATTATTGTTGAGACATTTCACTAAAATACAAAATGGCAACCTTACGTCAGCACTAGAGGCAAAGTTAGGGGACCACCACAGTACAAGAGCTGTGT